ACAGTCAAAAATGTGTTGACGAAATAAAAACTGCGTTCGATGAAGTCGAGGAATTATTACACGCCGAGAATGGCCCGCAGAGATTGAAACAATATTTCAAGTAATTATTATTCATGTTTAATTTATAACAATGAATAAATAACGTTACGATGTATAATAATTAAAATTATACATTACAGTTTATGCGACGTGCCAAACGTAAAATCTTTCAACGATCTTGGACACTTTGGTAATCTTTTAGCAGAGGTACGGATTATTATCGTGAAATGAATTTTTCGAGAAGAAGATATTTTAAATTACAAAAATATTTATCCATTTATTAATTTATACGATCAGAGTTTCGCCAGCGTAGTTCAATACGATAAAGTAGAAAATGGAAGAAGAAAGATCGCCTCTTGCTGCGAGAACATGACAGCTACATATTTGGGTAGCCCCCTTCAAAGATTGGCGCATTTCGTGTCAAGAAAAGACAAATGTTTGAAAAACAATTACGAAAAGTTCGTCACGCTTTACAGGAATGAAACGTGGGACGCTCAATCTGATATAAGTAAACACATTACGATAAAAATTGCTTGCGTGAATTACTTATTGTTTATAATTTTATTTTTTTTTACATGCCATTACAGTGAGACAGTGGTACTACCAGACGTGCACGGAATACGGTTATTACCAAACATCGAATTCAACGAAATCAATTTTTGGATCCTTATTTCCGTTGCTATATTTTACAAATATTTGCGAAGATTTATACGGCGAATAGTACGCGCTACGTCAAATATTTTTAACTATTTAAATATTTGTTTATCTGCTAAGATAAGATAATACGATATATTGTTTGTCTTGCAGTTACAATGGCGATTTCTTAAATAGCAGAATTAAAAGAACAAATATAATGTATGGAGGATTACGACCAGACTTGAGAAATGTAATATTTACAAATGGAGATATTGATCCGTGGCATGCTCTATCCGTTCTTCAAGATTTAAATACATTTTCTCCGGCTGTACTTATAAAAGGTAATACCAGGCATCTTTGTTAATTTTTTTTTAAACGAGTTATTTAAAATCAATCAATTGATACAGATTCTTCTTATTTCCAGGATCGTCTCATTGCCGCGATTTATACAGCGACTCAGATACAGATGTCGAGGATCTGACTCGAGCCAGAGTGAAAATACGTGAAATAATTGGAAGTTGGATCTCTTCTTAAACTTGTCGTCCGACTTTTCCACTTGGAAAAATAAAAGAAATATTAATATAAGTGTAAGAAAATATATATATTTATTTCCAAATATTATTTACAAATAACTAGAATGCAATGAAATACGTAACTTATAATAATAATAAACCTAAGTCAATTCATTACAATTTTACTTATACAATTATTTCTTTAAAATAATCGGCCGCAAAATTACATTGCATTAACGAGATCGAAATTTCACTGCCTTTTTTATATCCACGAGTAATATCTTAACGAGATTTCACGTTTAATGACTACTTGTAAAAAAGTTGATAACATTGTTCCAATAGAATAAGTTTACAATAGAATATCCAACTGGATTGATACATGTGCGTTATGCATAGATGGAATAATGCGTTTCAGTCCACTTCGAGTTTCCTGAAAGAACCTGTGATCCCATACATAGTCGAATCGTTGGGCCCAATGTCGGAACACCCAAAACCTTGTTTCAAAGCTGAAACCGCCCCTTCTCGAGCTTTTTCCGAGTACAATTCCAAATTCACCCGCATTTTATCGTGACTCAACAACGTTGGCGTCATATCGAGCAATTCTTTCTTCCATAATTCTACGCAAACAAAGTAATTTTACTTTTCCAAATTTCTTTCCTTTTTCCATTATTATTCACGATTAATCTCAACGACGAACCAGCTTGGAATATACTTACCAATCATTTCTTTCATAGGCATTGTGCCACCGTACTCTTTTGGCAATAAACTCGTGTCCATCTTGTGATTGATCGCTTCTTCGAGGCTGGTGTAAATTTTCACACGTTTCTTTATTTTTTCGGAGATCAGTGACATACCAAAATCGAGGGCAAATTTTAAAGATGGATGCGTGTTAATCGCGTGAACTTCCTTATGTCGCATCGGTATCGTTCGCTAAAAGTTATCATTATCTCTTTAAGAATTCTTCTATATTCACGTATAATTTTCACGTATAAATATTTTTTTTTCCTCGATGATTCAATCTTTTCCACTGTTATCACGTGTAATAATTGTGTCAATAATTGTTTCACGACGAAAGAAAAATGACGATTCATACCTCGCCATTTTTCACGATACGAACAGCCTCCTTGGGTGTGAAGAGCGTCAAATGCGGAAAGCTAACACCGGCACCATCGGCAAAATGAACGAAACCTCGTACTTGACTTTCCTCGTCTTCCATCAAACACTCGTAAGTGATTGCGTGAATTCTACACATATCAGCATTCGTGTACTTATGCGGATCAAAGACACCTGAAAGCACGTGGCAGAAAGTAAATATTGTTACGCACAAACGAAACGTGTTATGCAATTGCGCAACTCGTAAAATTCGTTCTCTTTTTTTTCTTTTTTTATCGTGCCTTCGTGTTTCCTCGGCATATTTAACGCGATAAAAATAATCGCGTGTTAATAAAAACAAAAATGACGGATAAACAGCTTGCAATCGTTTATTATTTTTTTTTTTTTTTAAAGAAACGTTGCGTTTCGAAATGTAAAAGAAGGGGGAGAAGCATGAAAATCGATCCACAACAGCCAAATTGGACTGAGTTTACCTGGCCTGGCAATTATAACACGACGGCCTTTAGCATCACGTCCGGGTGCAGCGAATAGATATCTGGAAAATAGGGATGCACTTGGCGTAATCTTGGCGCGAAACCTCGTTTCATCGATCTTACCCCAAAGACAACAGCTCCTCCATCGTTGGTTCCGTGATGTCCAAATTGTTGAAAGCGGGATGGTAGACCTGGCGCAGCAGCAAGTATCTCTCGATCGCTTCCTCCGCCATTGGGACGTTAAATTTTTTACATCTTAGGAATCTTAACAAAAATCGCGCATCTGTCGAACGAAAATCGCGACAGATATTATCGGCGACAGATTAATTTGATCACGCGTGTCTACGTAATAGAGCATTATCTTTTAAAAATAGTTAAAAAAAAGAAGAAAAAAGAAAACGATTCTCTCACCAAGACGACAATTCTGAATACGCGGATTCAATTTTATCCAGTTACGTATTTGCTCGAGGGCTTGGTCTCTGGTATTCTTATCCTCTCTCAGCTCCTCCTTCGAGAGTTGTTGCGTCTCCTTCGAGAGGGTGCACTCGTACGCGTCCTCCGCTGTTACCCATTCGACCGCTGTTCCCATCTCGTTAATTTTTCAAGCGGTTTTTAAATTATCGATAACTAAAGTACTTATCGATCGCTCGAGATTCTAAAAAAAATCATTCGTCATTTTCTGAAATTCTCCTCTTATATACGTAAAGTTTATTTTCGATATTTGTGTCAAGGTCATTCCAGATATTTTTTAAGTAGAAAAAAAAAAAAAA